GGTACCCTTCGGCTGCCAGATGCGCGAGCCCCAGCGTGTGCCAGACGCGGGCAAAATTGAATTCCATCTCCTGGCGTTCGGATAAGAATGTTCCCGGACGTTCGCGGACCCGTCGGTACTCTTGCATAAAAGATAGTCCCTGCATGATGAGGTAGTGTCGGTTCTCGGATTGCCGTTTCAAGGACTGGTGGATGTAGCAGAGGGCGATTGACAGCAGGACCACGGGATTCTGGTCATCCAGCGCGTAGGCGCGGAAGAAATAGTTCAGAGCCGGATAGAAACTGTTACCCGAGTACAAGATATGCCCGTACAATACTATCAAAGCAATATCCATTTCCTCGGCGTTGATGGCCTCGCCCGTGACCTCGTCGCGGGTCGACAAGGAGGCGCGCTCCTGGTAGATCGACTCTCGCGGCCTGTTCGGTCGGGCTCCCGCGATGTTCTCGGGTAGGGTGAAGTCCATCGCCTTGATTTGACGCAGCATGAACTTCATATTTGGAGAGGAATGGAAGAGGGACCGCTGGGGGTCGCCGATGAGACGGCTTAGCATGGCAAACAGGCGATAGGTGTCTGTCACGAACTGGTATTCTTTGATGAACCAACGCGCCTCGTTTGTGAGGGTTTCTTCATCCTGCATGCGAAGAGCGCAGGCTAAAGGCTTGGTTAGTGTTGAGTCGGGAATGGGTCACGGACATACTCACTAAACCAACAGACATGGATCATGCGGGTACAGGGCTTCGAATGGTACCAAACGCTCGCATCTGCAGCGGCTGCAAGCGTATCATAAGCTTCATCAGACTCACCTTGTGCCGCCACATAGAGGGCATACTGAAGAAACAGATCAAGCCACTCCTCAAAGCTGATTCCATGGTAATCAGTGGGGATAGTACCCTGCAGTGGCTCTTCCGTGATGTTTCCTAGGGACATGTCAGTTTGACAGCACGGCAAATAGGCGGGGCGGGTTCGTACCTAGCGATTCATGAAGACGACCTGCCATCTCTTCCATTTCCTCGATGAGGGTCCGGCCCTTGCCCTTCTTCCTCTGTGCCTCTCGCGAATACCCCAAGAAGGTCATGTGGCGTTGAAGCGGATAGAAGATTCGATTGGAGCGAAACTCGCGCAAGAGCGCATCAGCAATGTCTAGCCAATCTTCCATGGCTTCGGCATTCCCACCTTTCACTGCTTCATGCAACTGGAGCAGCTTGCCGTAGAGGAAGTGCACGTTACTTCTTCTCTGCCCTTCATCGGGCTCGGCCTGCTTTCGGCTCACAACTGGTGCGGCCGGAGTGGTGAGAACGGCGGCCGGCGGCATTTCAGGAGAGGGAGACTCTGGCACGACCGGGGCAGCACCCGACTCCGCTAGGCGAAACTCCATCGCTAGCTGCTCTAGTCTTGTGTCTTTCCGCCGTCTATTGCTCCGAGTTTCCTGTCGCCCGAGAAGAACTGCTTCGTTGACAAATTTTAAAGCCTGCTCGTTCATTCCAATCTCTTCATACAGTCGTGCAAGCTGGACTCTTGAGTCGATGTGTTGTGCATCATATTCTGCCACTGTGAGATAGCAGTTTTCTGCATCTTCAAGTTTGCCCAGTAGCCGGTAGCAATCACCGACCGCCATGAAGAAGCTGGCATCTGCATACTCATTTGTCTGTTGCAGCGGTGTGTAGAATCTCAGCGCTTCTTGGAGCAACCCAACTTCCTTGAGAGCATCGGCAACCTCGCGGAACAAATCACCATAGTCGTATAGTCGAGCGTCCTCCGAGGTGTCTTCTGGGTCCAGCCATTCGAAGTGTTGTAACGCCTCATCTTTGTGGTCATATCCCATTTTGAGTCGGAAAAGACCGAGCTTTATCCGGAGTTCCAGCGGTAACCCCAATCCATACGAATCGCGATGCCATCGTCGCGGGATATATCCATCCGTCTTAATTCGTCGAGGAGAATCATCCGCATCCCATTCACGGTCGTCATCGTGGAAATCTTTCCACATCGTGTCATGATTCCGGCCCAGCAGCCATCTGGAGAGGGCCTTGGTGGCCTTCAGTCCATCGAATGGACGGCCTACAATGCTGTGTAATTCAGCATAAATGTTCACGTCGGACCAGGAGAAATCGGGCACATCCTGTGGCTCGTAAGTCAGGATATAATCAACACTTCTCGACCATATTTCCACCGCCTTATGGACCTCCTGGGTGTCAATCAACGTCTCTGCGAGGTGTCGTAGTGCTCTCGCGTCGTTTGGCCGCTCTCGCAAAATACGTTCGTATTCGGTCGTAGCTTTTCCGTTGTGGTTGAGCTCCCTGTAGATGGCAGCTCGCTGAAATCTGATATTGTAATTATGTGGCTGTATATCGAGCACTCGACTATAGCAATAGACAACGTCATTGAGGGCGCTTGTGCGATCCTCCCCGCTGCGCTCCAGGATCATTCTGGCTACTTTGATCCATACACCCGGATCCTTCGGTCGCGTGTGTGCACCGTTGAACAACGCCGTCAGAGCTTTGTCGGGCTCCCCTTGAGCCAAGAAGATTTCGGAGAGAAGCGAATGCGCGGCAAACATTTCCGGGTTGATCTGAATGGCTTGCTTCACCTTGACAATGGCGCGGTCATAGTCACCATCAATGAAGGCCGAGGTGGCCTCGGAGTGCAGAATCTTGAATTCCGGGCTCGGTTCCAATGGCTTGCGAGGGCCTCGTTTGACTCCTTTCATGCCTCGGGCTCCATAGCGGCCACTGAAGGGGCCTCCTTTGCGGCGACGACGGTGCGAGAGCGAATCGTTGTCATCTCCTTCTTCTGGCGGGGCTTCATATTCTTCCTCGTCACTGCTGTCTGTCAGTATCGGCTTCAGAGAGGGATCCAGTATTGCTTACGTCTCTTCCTCTGAGGATAAGGAGTAAAGAGAGTCCTCAGAGGCATCCACTTCGGGATAATTTCCTACGCCCTCGTTGTCGATTTGATCGTCTACTGGTTGTGTGGCCCCGGCGGTAAACAAGCCTCTGTATAGACGAGGATCCAGTAAGTGGTCGATAGAGGACTCAGCCTGGGCTGGGGGCTGGTCGCCCTGCCATGGGTAGTGCATTGTCTGGTTGACAGCCGGATAGGCGTACTCTTCGGAAGAATTCCCGTGCTCCGGGTAGGTAGGGTCGGGATAATCCATGGTATTGGACGACTGATTTACTGCTTGATAAGGTTTGTGCAGAGTGCTCTCAATGTGTGGCTTTGAGCCTTGCGGGGACAACAAGTCATGCAGGATTGACGGTCTGGATCCTCGGAAGTGGTTCTGCGGCCGGACAGGGATCGTCAGCTGGCTGCACCCCCGCGACACGATAATAATAGTCTAGACTAGAAGCGGTCGCAGTGGCGTGGTCTCAAGGATCATGTAGCGGAGTTGAGACTATGGAACCAAGGGTGAACCATTATTGGGTGACATGGAGATGCGGCGCGCTTGGGGAGGGGGAACAAGAAAAAAAGCCGGTCAAAGAAGACAAGCACTCTGAAATTGGAAGGGATTCGGAGAGGAGAGAGGGGGTATATGGATTGTGGATGGTCAGATAGCGTTGCAAAGGGTGTGCCTAATCCATGTTTAGAAAGATTCGGGAAATTCCAAGGGTGCCAGGATCAAAGAAAAAGGAATGATTTTTTTTGTTTATCATGGTTCCGATAATCATAAGGATAGTGATAAGGTAAGAATAAGAACGATAACAATGAAGGGAAGAAAGGCAACCGACCCTACAGGCAATAATAAGAATAACAACAACTTAGCAGGAGGACATGGCACTAAGCGGCCAGACCAGTCGGTTTAGTTTTAGGAAGACAGGAGGCACGGATACTGGCGGGAGGTTTCAGGTTTCAGGGCAGTTCGCTTGTTGGCAGGGACTCGGATTCGAGATGGGTTGATATAGTAGCAAGAATAGTATGCTTCTGGATCAAAAGTGATGCTGGTTGGTTAAGTAGAGAGAGTAAAGCCGAGAAGGGGGAGGGAAGTGAGGATGGATGGATGGATGGATGGTCAAGTCAGTCCAGTGACTTTTTTTTTGCCCGCTTGTATTCACTGTCAGTAGGTACATGTACTCCGTACTGTACTTTCAGACCCTCCTTCCATAGAGCTGCTGCTGCTGCTGCCCTCTTCTGCATATTTACCCTCTTCTTCCTACTATCTCTCTCCTCTTCTAACTCGACGCCTCCCCCCACTACTATCTGTTTCTTTTTATATCTACTTTCCTTTTCCCTTCATTTTCCCCCTTCCCTTTTGATGCTTCAGGATCTGTTACTTGCCTGTTGTGTTTGACACACTATTGCAATTACACAATTCAATAAAAAATCCTGACATACTTTCGCTTGAAGAGAAGGGAAAAAAGCACTATTCCAGAAAGAAAAAGAGAAGGGGAAAAAAGAAGGTGAACGAAGGAGTTGCAGTTGACGGAAAACCCACAAGTGTGAAAAAAAAAAAACTAATCAAGATCCGGAAACTCTCGCCGCTTTGTCCAACCGACGCTTTGCTTCTCTGGCCTTGTTTCTCTTCACTGTCTGACTGAGCCTCTCTCTCACTTTCACTCACTCACTCTCACCCTCACTCTCTTGTTTTCACCTTCCGATCGATTTCTCCCCCCTCTCCATCCTCCCACCCTCCACCGGTCGACTCTATCTCCTCCCCCCCCTCGACCCCCCTTTATTCACACTCCGACTCCCTTGTTGATGGTCTTACGATTCGATTGATTTCTTCTTCCCCTAAGAATCTGAATCGGGTAGTGCAGCCACTGGACTGGTCTGTGCATCCCCAAATCGTCTCTCTGTCCAGAACATTTACGCCGTTGGCCTTATCACGCTTCCACCAAGGGTCTCCATCCTTAGTGAGATCGGTCATTTCGCTACCTCCTTTTCTGCTTTCAAGTACCGGCACAGGGTGAAATTGTTTGGGGCAAAGGAGCCAAAAACCAACCAAAAAAAGGACTCGATAAAAAGTTCGAAACGTTCGTCGGTTTTACGCAAACTCAGCAGGTGCTGCAGGTGTTTTGCAGTAATATTATTCTTTCTGTATCTATTATTCATCCGAACCCCGCGAAGAAAAAATCTAGGGAGATCCCAGCATCTCCTCTCCGACCGCGACCTTCCTTATTATCGAGACAGCCACCACTCATTGCTCACTTATGGCCAGCCACATCATCGGCAACCGCAACAGCACTCCGGAAGCTTCCAAGTCTAGCCTTCGTCCGCCTTCCTCTTCTCGAAACCTAGGGTCACATCAGTTGCGAGCATCGGCCGACATGTCGGGATTCCCGTCTCCGCTGTCCTCCCGCAGCATCCGTCCATCGTCCGAGGTTTTCTTCAACCAGCAGTCGCAAAACTCGAATAACACCGAGGATCCCTTGGACCGCGCGGCTCAGCAATGGCTGGCGGACATTGACCAGTACGAGACCACCCTGGAGGAAATGGCCGCCGCTACCTTGGATCAGGACTTCAAGGACGAGCTTAGTGCCATCGAACAATGGTTCCGCGTGCTCAGTGAGGCGGAAAGGACCGCTGCGCTCTATGCTCTTCTGCAGCAAACCACCCAGGTGCAGATTCGTTTCTTCATCCAGGTTCTGCAGCAGATGGCTAAGAGCCACCCCATGTCGGGCTTGTTGTCCCCGGCCAACTTCGGAGAAAAAGGTATGTCTATTTCCGCACAGTATGGGTACAATGGCTTATCTATGACGTTCGCGACAGACGCTATGTCTAATCGACTCAACGATGCCATGGCCAAGTTGAACGTGGACAGCTCTCGAAACTCTCTGGGCCGTCCGCCCCCCTCCCCGGGCGCTAAGCGCAACTCCGGACTCGACTCCTCGACCATCAACGCCATGTTCCCTGACGCGGCGGCCGCCATTGCCAAGAAGAAGGCTGAGTTTACCCAGCAGACCGGCAATGCGCCTCCCTCCAACCGGAACAGCGCTGTCTTCGGGGACCGCACTTCCTTCGTTGCGCCGACCATCTCAGCCCCGGACAACACCACCGACAACCTGGGCCAGCCCCCCGTCTCTCCCTGGGTGCAGCGCGGCTCGGAACCTCAGCCTCCCATTGCTCGACCCAAGTCCTCCTCAGGCCAGCAGCCGATGGGTCAATTCAGCCAGAACCCCTCCAGCCTGCGTTCACCCTTGCCCACCCAGACGGCCACCATCCCCGCTCCGGAAATCGATGCCCCTCTGCTCTCTCCTTACAATGTTGGAAATGCCAGCTGGGCTTCCATGACCAACACCCCGATGACGGCTACATTTGGGCAGCAGGCGCAGCACCCTCCGCAAAACTCGCAGGCCGATATGGTGGCTAACGCTACAGCGATGAAATTGGCTGCTTTGTCGACCGTGAACAATCGGATTGCACTCGACGATGCTCGCAAGTACCGCCGTGCCCGCTCGAACGATGGCCAGGGCAAGAGCTCGGTCAGCCACCTGGGTCCCCCGCCTCTGGCCAGCCCCGGACTTCCCACGCCCAACCAGCTCATGGCCAATCAGTTGTTGAATGCTCAGCAGCTGGCCGCTCTGCAGGCGCAACAGCACGCCGCTATGGCTGGTCACCGTTCTCGTCCGACGTCGCCTGGAATCGCCATGCAGGGCGGTGGCCTGGGACACATGAACTTCACTTCCCCTCAGAACAACGGTTTTCTCGCTGCGTACGATCCCAACAACCCGCTCATGGGTAATGGGCTGAGCGCGCTAGGCATGGGACAGTTTGGGTTGGGCGGCCACGAAGGCTACCTCTCGGACCACTCGGAGGTTGCTCGTGGTCGGTCGCCGCGCGGACGTCGGGGCAGCTCGAAGCCGCCAGAGGATCCCACGGACCCGGCTCTGCTGAAGGATATTCCCAGCTGGCTGAGATCACTCCGGTTGCACAAGTACACTGAGAACCTGAAGGACCTCAAGTGGACGGAGCTGGTTGAGCTGAACGACAAGGCTCTGGAGGAGCGTGGCGTGAATGCTCTTGGTGCTCGCAACAAGATGTTGAAGGTAAGTTCTACTTGGAGATCCAATAGCAGCAGACAACAGGCAGAAAGCTGACCATCTGAAACAGGTGTTTGAGCAAGTGCGCGAAGCCAAGGCCGACGGCAAGCTCGACAACATCGCTTGAACGAAACGCAGGGATTGCATGCGACTATCCCAACCATTCCACTCATTCATTCCTTCTTGAACTGAACGACGTTTTCTGCTTACATTCTCTCTATTGCATTAATTGACCTAGATTGGCTTTGGGCATAAGTGGCAGGATCCGAAATGAACCTATGAGCGATCTCATATCGGCATGAATCTTTGGGAGGAAGTTGTCTAGTAATGGAACATGAGAAGCTGTTTCCTAGTTGATTGGTTTTTTTTTTTTTCTTGCTGTATTTTCCATGTTGATGCAGACATGCTTGGGGCTGTGTCTCAAGGATGTCGATGTTATGACGGATAGGATGTTAATGTGATAATTGGACAAAGGGAATTGACTGGATTTGGTCTGTAGATACTTCTTTGAAAGACAAGGATGAATGATACTGTATAAGATTGGTACTTGGAAGTAGTCTTAGAGTGTAGCTTTTATCGGCGGAATCGCTATTAATAGCTATCTAGCACTGACTCGGTAGCTGAGCTGATAGCTAAGCGGAGAGAAGCGGCAGAATCTCCAACTCGACCTTAGCCCAGCATCACCACCACCACGACCTCAATCCCACACCCCATCAACCTCTTACAAACAAAAAACCTCTACCTTCCCACAAACGGGGCGGAATACACACTCAAAATGCCCCCCACCAAACAAGAACTCTCCCTCCTAATCAACCCCCTCGTCCCGGAGTCCCTCGCCCACAACAACCGGGTAAGCCAGCCCTTTCCTTCCCTTTCCTTTCCCTTTCCTTTCCCTTTCCTTTCCCTTACCTCCACCTCCACCTCCACCCCGTACCGTACCATGCATGCTAACCCACCTCTGGAAAAAATAGGTCCTCACCTCCCTCCACAGCGTGACCGCCTTCCTGCTAGGCCTGACCGCCGGGATCCTCTCGCTGCAGTCGGCGACGGGCTTCGCCTTCTACTTCCTCGGCACGGTGGTCGTGTCCGCGCTGTTCCACGCGCTGGTGCTGTATCGGTCCGGGGGCTGGGGCGCCGGGGTGTATTTTGCGGGCGCGCAGGGGGAGGTCTCGGGGCTGGATGAGCGGGGGATTGTGCGGGGTGTCTCCTCCTCCTCCTCCTCCTCCTCCTCCTCCACCACCAGCAGCAGTACCGCTGACAAGTCGGCGAAGAAGATGGTGCGGCGGGCGGCGTGGCGGGATGTTTGGTTTGGGGGTGGGGTGCTGGGGGAGGCGTTGTCGGGGTTTGTGTTGGGGTGGGCGGGTGTTGGCGGGGTTTTGCGATGATTTCTTGTTTACGGGGTTGGGGAATGGGGCTTTGTTCAGGGGTGCGGAGGCCCGGGGTGATGAGCAGCTAGCTACGCTGATTAGGTTTGGAGGGGATATCGGTCGGATCGAATTGAAAAATGGGGGAAGTTATCTAATGAATGTTTATAGTTCGGTTGTTCTATAATGATTGTATGTGCCTATGTAAATTGCTCGGCTGGGTGTCATCTAGGCTTGCTGGTCTGTTTGTAAGACTTCAGATTGCCCTGCCTTGAGTATGAGTAATTGCACTTCCCATAAGCACAACGGGGGGGATGGACTCACCTTCGCTAAGGCCCAGAGATAGGGCACGTGAATCACCTCGCTTCGCGCTTCGCCCCCATTTTCTACGACATTGACCCATACATTCCCCATGATCAGCCCCGTCAGCAAGCTCACTCCCATGATCGGGAGAATCGCGATGAATGCCCACATGATCGCGTCCTTCCCTGCCGCCCGGATCGCCTCTTGTGCAGCAGCCGACAGCCCATCCAGCATGGACAGGGAACTCTGGTCGTGGACGTTCAGCGGCGTGCCGCCATCCCCAAGCCCCTGGACGGCCGCGGAGTTACCGAACTTGTTGTTGAACACACTGGTCATGATGGTCAGGCCGATGGTGCCGCCGAACGGCAACGAGACCTGCATCAGGGACATGGCGGGGGCGATCCTCTCGGGCCAGACGCCCACGGTGTGCAGCGAGGAGGGGACCAGCCGTAACCCGATGCCCGCCCCGGTGACGACCATCATGCCGCTGAGGAGACTGGTGTTCTCGGCGCTGATGGCGTAAGAGATCACTGCCAGCCCGAGGGTGCTGAGGACTGCACCCAAGGTGAGAGGGAAGAAGGTCTGTCGGGGGAAAATGTTGCACATGTATACGGCAGAGTAGACGCCTCCTGACTCATACTGTTAGTGCATCGATCAGCGGTATGGGACGGAGGAGAGACGCTGTACCTCCTAGACCCGGAATGTAGTATAGAAGCTCGAGTCCGGACTTCGACGTGGAATATCCTGCCACGAGGATGTAGTAGATGCTGATGAAATAGAAGATAGAGTAAGACGCTAATAAAATGTCAGCGACTACCACGCTTTTACGAGTGGAACATGTCAACCTTACCTGCTCCCGTCGCAAAGTTCAGTATCGCCAGCCAGATCGTGTCTCTTCGTTCAAAAAGACTGTATGGCAGGACTGCAACATGCCTGGGGAATATTCTGGCACACAATCTGCCTGGCTCGAGCAGATACTCGTATAAAAAAAATGCCACGAAACATATTGAGCCCACGATCAACGGCGCGAGAACCTGGGGTGACGACCACGAGTATGCCGCACCTCCCCAGGTGGTCGCCAGGATGATGAGGCCCACCCCAAAGATAAAGAGAATCGATCCTCCGAGATCCACTGTCGCAAGAGCCGGGAGCACAGATGACCATCTAGAGCCCTTTTTGAACATGGACCCCTCGATCAGATCATGTCGTAGCAACACATAGACCAGAATATGGCTCAGTGCAGCAATCTTACTATCTAGTTAGCACAGTTGCACTTCCCAAATCAAAAAAATTCTGCTCAACTTACCGGGATTGGAACAACAAAACAGTATCTCCAGTTCGTCTTCGCACTGTCAGCAGCTGTTTCACATCAGTGTGAATCCATGAGACTCACTTGAGTTAGATACCTGACCCTCAGTGATTAGCGAACCGCGCCTAGGAGAGCACAGAGAGAGAGAGAGAGAGAGAACATACCCTCCAACAATAGGCCCCACCGCATAGCCCACACCTCCAACAAGCGTGAACAGCGACTTGTTCCTTGCGTTCTCCTTCAACGAGACCTTATCCGCCAGGATGATCATGATCAAATTCCCCAACCCGGCGGATCCGGTGCCCTGCAACGCCCTGCCGAGCAGCAGCATCCCCCACGTCTGCGCCGCCGCACACAGCACGCTCCCGACGAGCATAAGAAAGATCGCTGTCTGCAGCACCCAATGCCGCCCAAAGACGTCGGCTAACTGACCGAAAATCGGGATAAAGGTCGTCGATGTCAGGCTGAAGGCCGTGACGATCCAGTTCAACTCGTCGAATTGACCTATCGTTCAGGATTAGAACCTGACTACCAATGTCCCAGACCTTAATGAGAAGGAACACTGACCAAAGTGCGATGCGATGACGGTGGTTGCAGTGGCCACGATAGTCAAGTCCAGGGTGGACAAGATGAAAGGCAGAGAGAGACCGGCGATGAGTCTCAGTCGATACATGCGCCGCTGGCGCTTCTGCTCATGGCAGATACTGCAATTCTCATGGTGGTCTGTAGGACTGAGCACTTCAGCTGAGTCGGCGGTCGACTTATGCGCCGAGGACTCAAGGTCTTCATTGCCAGTAGTAGCTAACTCGTGATGGTGCCCTTGTGAGCGATGCAGACAGGGCTGCTTTGGCGGAGGGGAAGCCGAGCCATGCCGTTTCTGACGGAGATATCTGATGGCTGTAATGATCATTTCATACAATAGGTCCTCGTTGGGGTACTGGAAGAATGAAACACTAGTTTCTGTATGTCAAATTGGAAGTATCAAAGTAGGAAGCAGCACTTATATAGGCAGCCTGTGTCTTGCCTTGCTGACACGAAGCTCCTTGAAGCAAACCACCTCGACATGACTCCATACAGTCAGTATTGCGAGCTTGCAACGAGATTCGTGGCGATGCCGGGAAGATGAGCTTGGTAGCTGGGCTGGTGCTGGAATCTCCCGATTGGGCAGGTGTCACGGACGGCCCCGGGCATCTGATTCACCCGCATGCCTTTCCAGAACCGGCAAGGGTTGCGAAAGGCTTAATCTCAGCCGCTTTGCGCCTGAGTCTCCAGGCAGCCACTGTCTTACACCCAGGGTCTTGTACCTGGGCCTCGACATGATGGCTGCACAGCCAATAAGGTATATCTCGCAGAGCGTCAGCCTCGTTTCAGCCACAGTCTAAGCCGCTCGACTTCACTCACAGTCGCGATGACTTTTCTAGACTGCAGCCTGTGTCTAGCTGCTGAGACCACACGACATCGTCAAGCGCGTAATGTACAGCAGTCTCATTCATAAATGCAGACCACCGCCTGACACATCTCGCTTTGATTTCCTGGTCGAGTAGAATGAGAAAGGTCAAGCAATAACAGGAATGAAATGGCCACACGACTTCTATCTCAGCAGTCAGCCCAAGACCCTCGCGGAATTTCTGCTACTGCACCACAGAACTGAAATCAATACCTATAATATCCCTATAAGAAACATCGAGCTAGGGCGATGACTGACATATCTGACCACGCGCCGTGCGCTGCTCTATCTCTTATCTTGCATGACATTGACTACCTTCGGACCTCCGTCGGAGGAGACTAGACAGTATGGCGACAGATGGTGCACCCAAACCCCGCATTATCACCGTAGCGTAGCACATGGCCACACCAATTGAGCCAATGAACTAAACGCCCTAGTCAGCTCCAAGCCTGTCAGCATCCCATTTCCAGGACTCTGCCAAGTGAAACCAAAAACACATATACTCGCAGCGTGAACACGAAACAACCACACCAAGACTCCCACCTCTTCCCAAGAAAATGCACCAAAGCCAACCTCCCCCCTTAAAACCAGAAGTCGCCGCCGCCGCCGACGACGACGACGACGAGAACATCTGGACCCCACTGCAACTCGCCGCCGCGCAAGGCGACCTACCCCTCGTGAATCACCTCCTAACCCAGCAGCAGCCACCGCAAAACCCCAACGAAGCCCCACGAGGCTACTACGGCCACACCGCGCTGCAGACGGCGTCACTCAACGGCCACCTAGCCATCGTCGAGACCCTGTTATCCGCCGGCGCCGCCGTCGACCTCCCCGGCGGCAACAACGGCGGACGGACGGCGCTGGTCC